ACTGCTACTGCTACTGCTACTGCGAACTCACCGAAACCCAAATTTCCAATGCCACAAACCGCATCCAATCCAAAGGTTGAAAGGCCCAGATCAACTAAAAGTTATCTTTCTCAAGCAACCTTTAGCCTGTCAGCCTTTAGCCTCCAAACCCCCAACCGATGAAGACTGACAAAACGATAACAACTTAAGATACGATGGATGACAAACAGGACGCAACGCTGAAGATGAGCGGGTCGTCGTCGTCGTCGTAGTAGTAGCATCACAATGCTGACGGCGCATGTGTGGATGGCAGTTTGGAACGTCAGTGGCCGCCTTTCTGGCAACCAGCCCAGGACCTGCATTCTCAACTAGAAATGCCACAGCGAAATGCCAAAGCCATGAAACCTCCGAACATCTCCGGACCAAGCCCAAGACCCGAAAGCCGGTCAAGGATCACAAGACCATGCGTGCATACATCAAGCCGCCTGTCTGGACTGTGGCCTTGGAAGTTGTGGAGAGTGGGTGACTTCAAGGCCTTACAATTGCCAACGCGAAACCTAGGCTATGGGTTTTGGGCCTGATTGACTGTCGTGTTGGTTCCAGGTTCAGAGGTTGGATAGTGATTGGGCTTCGCAGCTCGGCAGTCCAACCCAAACTCAGCATGTACAACACTGGTTACGACTGACGAGCACCCAGAGACCAAAACACAGCTCGAAAGAATCTGTGCTAGTCCACTTCTAAAAGAAGATGCAATACTCAGCGTTCAGGGGATTGAGGAAGCATGCCGGCATAGTTTCGTACCCCCAAGTCCTTGTCCCTTCTGCAGCCTTGCCATCTCAGACGGCAGAAACCGGTACCCCAAGTCGTGAGAGGCTGCGTTCGAAGCAGCCGCCATTACAGAATTTCTGAGAGGATGGGTTGAGGAAAGATCTTGGGCTGAGACCTCGTGGTTTGCGGGGTGTAGGACATTGCAGAGCTTGAGACAACAAGGCGCTTCATGTTTGATTATGAAGGGCTAATTTGGGCTCTTTGTTCTCGCTTTCGTTCTTTCCATCCACTTCATTGAGACAAAGGCCCGAATAAAACACACCAGCGATAGCAAATGAGAGGTGAACATAGGAAAAGATGAGTGGTATAGCTTATAGTAGGAGAATGACTTAGAAGATATAACCTCTAGACAACGAAATCTTTAGGTCAAACATACGTCTAAGATTCTCCTATAAGATATTGATTCCTTCTTACAACTAAGACTACATTTTAACATATAAGGTTTCGTGCGTAGGGCCAACAAAAGTTTCCGCGATGCGGCGAGGCTTGGCAGAAAGAGGCCAAGGTGAGGCTGGTAGTTTCGGGGCAGCTTGTGAAGGGCTCGGTTCTGGTGGTTCAGGGTTTTTGCCGGGAAGTTCCCCGGCAATCGCGAAGTGCACCCAGCCGTTGTCAGCAAGCCGCAGTGATCCCTACCTCCCGCAACGCGTTTAGCTTTTCTACGGTGTTAGGGGAACCTGGGCAAACCTGAACCTCAGAGCCCAAAACGCCTTACAAAAAGGAAAGGAAGTCCAAACAGAAATACTTAAACGTTGCCCCAAATGAAACAGGCCCTGAAAATGCTTTGACTTCCTGCGCTTGTTTGCCACGCTTTTGTCCGCCGCCCTAGATATTCAGGAAAGCCAAAAGCTTCGATCCATTCTTGGACAAGACCCTGCTCACGGTGGCTCGGTTGTATCTCGGGACTTTTGTCTAGGACCGGAGCAAGGGCCGCGCGAGAGAGAGAGAGAGAGACAGCTAGAGGTTCGAGTTTGGATGTGTGCAGCGTTGCAAGCACCCCGAATGCCCAACAGAAGGTTTCCCTGGACAACTGAGAGCGACAGCTGTCACTGGAGCTTTCATACCCGAAGAGAACCTCGGACCTAGGACAACAAGCATTATGCAGATGCCCATCAGGAGCCAAGGCATCAGGAATCAAATCCCAAGCCCCAGCGGTTCAAGTTCATGTGCATGGACTGTTCACAGCTTCTCCATTTCAGCAAAGATCAGCAGCTGCCTTTGCATGACACGGGGTCAAGTGCATTGCCTGGACAGCCAGCTGCGCTTCTGCCACATCGGTTGGATGGGAATGCCATCCGACCAGGCAGAACATCACGGACACTGTCTTACCCCTGGAGCTACGGCCATCATGCCGAGGCGCATGCCTTTTGAAGCCAACGGTTGAAAGCTTTATGGACATCATGAACCAGTGTTGCCCATGTGGCTATGATTTCGTGCATGTTCCGCGCGACAAGATCAAGGCGAGAAATGTGGCCTTGGCTTTCGTCACTTCACAGATCATACAACAGCAAATGCGGCATATGCATACTTCCAGGGGGAATGCGCAGCCCATGGATGCTCGCCTCGGCAGCCACATCCGTGTTTCGCCGGCAGATGTGCAGGGCGTAGACCGGAATCTGGCATGCTTCATAGCCAGGAACGGCGTGGCAGACTTGGACCATCCACATGCACCGGAACAGGTCTTTCAAAACGGATGCCACATCAGCTTGATGGGAAGATGCATGTGACCATGCAACTGATCACACTGGCGACGGAATACATGCGAGCAGTGGAAGATGCCAGGGCTTCGCAGAGAACGTGGCCGAGAGGCAAGCTTCTAGCACAGGATGCTTGCAACAGTGGCACGTGGGCCAGGCGCTGTGCAACCCTTGCAAGCGAGTATGCTGCCCCGGATCTGAAGACTATACATCCGGCGGTTCGAGATGCTAGCAGAGGGTCCCCCTCGAGGTATTGGACTAATCTCAGCGACTGGAGCTCATCGAGGAAGTCGATGGCAGGAAACCAGTGACACCTAATCTGAATGCAGAGGCCCCCGCGAACTCAAAGTGATCTTCGAGGTTTTCAGCAGAGAGGTTTACGCCTTCTACCGGTGGTCCTGGTGCTGCTGAGATCTTAAGCCCCCAAGAGGTGTCAACCGCTGTTCTACAAGAAGCCCGATTGCTCGATGCTTTTCCTTTGATAACTGCGGTACATGCATGCATCTTCAATAAGTCTCGTGTGGGTTGCCTACGCCTCAGCAGCTACAAGCTGGTGTGGCCGGCAAGACCATGTGCTGAGTTGCAGCCCATGCAAGAATGACGAAGCCGCACAGCTCCAATAACATCAGGATTAGGCTCACACTGCTAGCAATGCCCACAATCCTATCATGGCCCCACAGCACGACGATACATGACATTGAACAACTGACTCTGCATGTTATATAGAATTCGCTACGAGAAGATGAAGCTGCGACACCCTGGTCCAGCGACTTTCGCTGGGATTCAGCAATGGCACCTGCATGGTTATGAGTTTGCAAGATGTTTGCAAGTCAAGAAGTTTTACGTTTTCTGCATGCCGTGGACCTGCCGGATGACGACACTATAGGGCAGAACCCCATGCCTCTACTGCATGAAGTGGCTTGTGACTGCGTGGAATTGAATAGTGACGTTGAATTCAACAGCAGAGTTTCTGATTAGTTGAAGAGGCTGCTGGAGCTACCACAACTGGACAAGACAACAGTTTCAAATCCTGCAGCAATGCAAAGTGAGAATTCAATGCATTAGAGGCTCTGTTCTGCATTGCATGAGGTCCCTGGAATATGGAAGGTCCCGACATATACAGTGGTGATGCAAATGCTGGCATATGCACGTTCACGAGTCTGCATGGGCTGCGAGCGGTTGGTTGAGGAAGTGATGCTGAGTAGATGCAAACTTTTGACGTTAGGGAACAAGTTTCACGGATCCTTCCGGGCCGAACTA